GTCTATGACGAGAAGAAAAGTCATCTTGTTTAAACGACACATACTCATACACACCATCTGGAGCCACTAAGTATCACAAGATGACATATAGACAGCAACAGCTACTATGAATGAGTCGTTTTCATATAATATATATGTATATATATATACATTATTTGCCTTAAGCAAAAACGACAGTGACATAAAACAATTTTTTTTTATTACAGTGATTTTTTCTTCTTCTTCTTCGTGCTTGATACTTATTGATTACGTGCTCATCAAAAAGTGATTCATTTTTCATATATCTACCTTCGTCCGTCTCATCATTTCAACCTAATTTTAATGTAGAAAAATCATACAAAAGAAGCCCATCGATCATGCTTGATGATGACGTCGAACGTATGCAATCAGTATAGTTCTCTTCAAGTGTATCCTGTTTGTATTATGTGAATAAATGACGAGCGAAACTACACACCTTATGCTCTTTATAAATCGTTCTTTCTTTTTTTTCTCTCTCTCTCTCTTCTTTTTGTTATGATTATTATCATTCTATTTCTGACATATGCCAGTAGGCAAACAGACTAGCCAACTGTATTATAAGATAGATGTGCGGAAAGATTCTCCTTCTCTTCCTCGCTCGCTCTCTTATTCTTTTTTCTTATTGCTCGACCGACCAATTATTGATGAGAACATATACTCTCCTATTGGTGGTTGTGTAAGTAATGGTTTATTTTTTCTTCTACGCATTTACGCTGTTCGCCTCGACAATGAGCTGCTAGAGGGTGGAAAGAAAAGAATGTGTGGGTAGTCGCAACTGGCGTAAGAAAAACTCAATCAAATCATGTCCTTCGTTTATATATGTATCTTTCTTCCTCTTCGCTTGAATGAATATAAACACTTTTTTTCCTTCTTTTTCTAACTACCAATCAATAACTACTTCTTCTCTCTATTTCTTTTGCGCGCACTCTCTATCTCTCTTCCTCTCTCTCTCTCTCTCTTTTTATTTGCACGACTAGAAAGAGAGAACTCAATCACTTTTTCTTTTTTTTTCATATTGAATGATTAAGTTTTATATTATCTACTAAATAATTATGTATCATCCATCGATATGGCATCCAATTGATATGGCTGCTGCATTTCGTTCACTTCGTCAAACAACATCATCACCAAATATAAGTCCAGAGAAAAGTTCTGTATCTGGTTTCAATGCCGCTTTTTCAGTTAATACACTTCTTAATCAATCTTCATCTGAAACATTACGTATACCATCAATAACAACAGCAACAGCACATCAACATAATCTATTTTCAAGTTTATTTCAACATTATCCATATGCAGCTGCATTTCGTCCTCTATTTAATGGTACTACCAATTCACCATCGGAATCTTCTGCATTTTTACCAGCTGGTAAAAGATTTAAAAATAATTCTCATGATGAAAATCATTGTGAAACAACATCAAGTAGTGATGAAAGTTTTGGAAAATCAACAGGTATGCATTTTTTATCAAAATTAATGAATTGCAGTTAAAAAACATTATTAATTAACAAAAGGAAAAAAAGAAATCAATTATAAGTGTGAGAAATTAGTTTCCTCTAACAGTATCTTGTGAAAAATACACACAGGATGTATCTCTCTTAACAGATACTTTATTTCGAAAGATTTCTTTTTTTATATATGAGAATCATAATTTTCTCTTATGATTCAGTCATAAATAAGATCAAAAAAGATTGATTGATCGATCGATATTTAATAAGAATATTTTCATTGCACAGACGGTGATTTTTCTCGTTCTTACTCTTAAAAATCAAGTATGTATAATCAGTCACTTGGGGGCACTACGAACTCTTGTTGATATAACTCATACATTTAAGCATTATTCAGCTGTACAATTAAATTCTGATGTTAGGCTATTTAGACATATGGTGGTATGTGATAGTGATCCAGAAGTAATAAAATAATCAAACTCTTCACTAAAAAGAAAAGAATGAACAGCTCGTTTAATTAAATACCTGACTTTGTTCTTTTTTTAGACCATCGTTGTCGATCATCAACAATTGATCTACAAAATCCACAATGTCCTATTTGTCAAGTATCATTAAATGGGCAAGATATGATTACACATGTTCAACATGAACTTGATTTAATTGAACGTCGACAACAATATAAAGCTAAACGTGGAAATAAAGTTCTTCAAGATAATAATAATAATATTGATCAAACATTTAAAACACGATATGAGGTATTTCTATCAGAAAATCAAAAGCGTCTTAATTCTTTTATTCTATTTTAGACTTTTTTACGAGTACGAACAAGTCGACAACAACGTTTAAATGGTAAATATTGTTTATCATCTTATTAAAATCTCATATATATTTCTTTTTAGCTAAATTACAAATGCATAATCGTCGATTAATTCGTAATGATACACGAAATTGTCCTATATGTTATCAATCAATTCCAATAACTTCTGATGAAGAATTTTTCTTTAATCATGTTCAACAATGTTCAAGAAAGGTAATTATTTGTTTCGTAGAAACTAAAAAAAAACGAATCCTTGTTTTTGAAAGAGAGAACAATTAGCAGCTGTAACAGCAATAGCCAATCATCATCGTTTATCATCACCACTTCCACCAACAATCGATGATCCTGATGTAAATGTTGTTGATATTGATGATGGAATTGAACGTGAAGAAAAAAGTACAAGTGGAACAACAACAAGTCTTAGTTGTCAAGAATCATTTAACAGTGATCAAAGATATTCTCCATCAACTCAAACAGATATATTATATACAAAATCGCCCAATACTTCCGAACTCGATCCACCAAAATGTGTTGTTTGTATGGTAAGAAATTGTTTTTTTTTAAATGAATTAATTTATATTTTTAATTATTTTAGTAGGAATAGTGTGTTAAACCGTGTGTTTCAATCAATTGTTGGCATATTAATTGTGAAGAATGTTGAAAAAAATACTTCAATAAAAATCAAGTTTGTCCACAATGTAATATACCAACAAAAATGGACAATCTACAATAAAATATCGAAATAATTCTTTTCTTTCTTTCTTCTTCTTTTGTGTGTATTGTTTCAATTTGTTGTGTATAAAAACAAAATAAAAAAATCGACTATTTTTTATTGTACTAATAACACTTCATTTGTTGCAATCAAACATTCCGCATATCACATACAATAGATCACTTCAATAGACATCCGTTTGCCGTTATGAATAAATTATCAAAAAAAAGAACGAGCGAGAATGACTTTCGGAAATTGTGACATTAGAAATGAAATATTCTAAAGAATCACCTGTTCAAATGATTTTTCTAAAAAACTATATGATCGTGTGAAAATTTTCTTTTTTGATGATATTATCTGCAATATGTTTAAAATTGATCCAAGATCGTAGTTATTATCAAACAACTTGAAAAGATAGTTTGATTTAATCTAATACAATTCCTTTAGTCACAAAAAAATCTAGAGTTGAGAATGATGTGCTTGTGAATTGAGTATGTTAACGATTATTTTATTAACACTTGTATAAAAAATCAATTAGAATATGATGTGCACGTGCTTTTCCATGATCATTATGATGAATAACAATGAGTAATGTTTGTTGAGTTGATGAGATTGTCTATGACGTCAGTTTTGCTTTTTTTTTCAATATATAACTTAGTGACTTAGTGGGTGTTCGTGAAACGATTTACTTTCACACATATATTTTGCGCTCATAACGACGACGACGACGAAACAATATTATTGTTGAATTTGTTGTTATTATTGTTATTATTTCTCTATTCACCACATATATGCGAAGGAAAGAAAAAGATAGTAGACACGCGAAAAGAATGTTATGAAGCAATACTAATGGTTCATATATTCATTTGTCTACGCCCAGTTTTATTTTTCACCTAACCGATATTGTGACTAAAGTGTGACAATTTATAGTGATAAAAAACAAAAGGCGAACGAAACACCTTAACCGTTATACTTAGCAGATGTTCATATGGATCAATGAAACTTCGACATAGATTTTTTTCTATTTGATTGGTTACAATCATATATTACTCATTAATATGTATGTATATTTATCAGTTACTAAGAAAAATAATCAATCGAAAGCATCTTGTATAGTTAAATAACGGCAAATATGAATTTTATCTATTTATTTATTTAAAAAAAGTTATCCATATCGACTGACATTACATTACGTGTTAATTCATCTTTAAGAATATCGAGAATATCAAGTGATTGATTTTGTATTGATGTTGCCAATTGTGTATAAAGTGCATTTTCATTAGTTGAAACAGATTTTCCAGATAAATCATCTAATGCTTGTTCTAAACGATCGAATGTATGACATAATAATGTGTAAACTGGTAAATAAGATTCTTGAGTTAGTTTTAAACGTTCATCTATTTGTTCTTGTGTTAATTGTACACGTTCTTTATCGGATTTTTCTGAATCAATAAATGATGATTGTTTGCTCATTTGAGAATTTGAACCACTAGCTGCTCCACGTTTACTAGCAGCAGATGGAGTTGTAGGTGGAACTGGAGCTTTCTTTGGAGACTAAAAACAAAATCTTATCTGTTTATAAATATAATAATAATTAAAACTAATGATAATAATCATAATTTAAAATCAATTATTTACAAAAATAGCAAAAAAAAATGATAAATAATATTGAAGCGAAAAAAAAAATCTGTGCTTGAATATTAATTATATATTAAGTAATTGGAGGCAAAAGAAAATTAATAGTTACCGCTTTGGCTGGTTTTTTCTCTGCTCCTTTCTAAAATATAAATAATTTGCGAGTTATTTTTTTTTATAATAATTATCAGTGGTTAGATGCAGTTGAATTGAATATAATATTATTAATACAATAAAATCAAAATTAAACACATATGGATTGTACATCACGCATCAATCTTTTGATTTTTGTAATAGTTTAAGTGCTCAGCTACTTTATTCAATAGTAGAGATATGTGAGACCAGTTCCGGTCCCGATAGCTGAGACCAAAAAATAAAGCTTTACCGGAACCAGAAAAACTTGGTTCAACATATCCCTATTCAATATTTAACTGTATTAAATAACAGTCCATTAGACGAATTCAGCTCACGCCAAAAATAATGTATGTGAAGACAGTGGCGGATCTAGGATTTTGAAAGGGGGGGGGGGGCGATACCCGGGAAGGGGGCGATGGTCCTCCCTAAATCCGCCACTGTGTGAAGACTAGATAGTTATGTGATTAGTATTTCCTTGTTAATTAAACCATTGGAAATCATAACATGACTGAAATTAAAATACTAACCTTTCCTCTGTCGCCTTTTCCAGCTGCTCCTTTTTTATCTTTACCACCAGCACTCTTCGGACGTTTTTCATCTAAACAAAATTCAATCTTGATAGTATTGGAATTTAATAATAATAATTATTTTACTTTCTTGTTGTTTTGTAATTTCATAATTTTTTTTCCATGTATTGAATTCATTTCCATCTATACAAAATACTTTATTAAAAAAAAATTCTTTTTTTCCTTTGGTATTTACATATATCAAAATCAGGATATGATTCGACTGTTGGTTCAGCAATTTGACATTTATTATGTATAAGAATCATTTCATCAACAAATGAATCAATAAATTGATTCATAATATCATAACTAGAATATTATTATTATTATTTTTTTGTTAATTATTCCAATATACTTACCAAACTAAATATGTAGTTTGTTCGCTGGGTTTCAATGGTTGAAGTGTAAGTTGATGAATAGCTTGATTAAGTTGTTCAAGTAAATTTGATTTCTCAGGATTTTCTTCATCAAGTGATAAGATTTTCTGACGTATAGTATCAATTTTCAAATCCCATTTACGATCTTCATCTGCTGGTACAAGTTGTTGATAAATGTTTTTAATTTGTTCAAATACTTCATGATTAAAGAAAAGCTATATGAAATAAAAGATAATGTTTATTTTTCTTGAAAAAAAAAAGAGTTTTTACATCAGGATGTTTTTCTTGAAATTGTTCTTGTTCTGTCATATAGAAACCAATCGGTGAACGAGCTCGTTCAGGTGTTCGAACATTATCAAGAATATTATCAACAATTTTTCGTACAATACTTTCAGCTTCTCTATGAAAAAGCATTTGCTAAAAATAGATAAGAAATTTTTACTTTGCTTTTTTTTGTCTTCGTTAAATTATATAAACATACTTCAATATCAAGACGTGTTTGTCGATGAATATCTTCTTCAGTTGTTACTCCACGTAATGTAAATATTATTGGTCGACCACCACAAAGTACAGGACGTGTCAATAACTGCCAACGTTCAGTAAATATTCCTGATTCATTTGATTTAAATACAAATGATAATTTAAGATTATCATTTGGTAGAATTGAACCTAAACAAAAAAATACATTCAATGAACATCATTCTAACACAAAAATAAAAGCAAGCAAAGAAAACTAAAGTGCATAGAGTGTATTAAGAGAAACTATCTGATTCAACCAAAATTCGGTGACGATTATCTATAACTAGACATGACCCAAACCAGTGACGGATTTAGGGGGGACGACTGCCCCCCTCCTTCCGATTTTTTTTTGATTTTTTACAGCAAAATGAACGAAAAAATAGGTTCACACTACTTTGATTGGACTCAAAAAATAGCTTTTAGCTAAAATCGCCCCCCCCCCCTTCCAAAATCCTAGATCCGCCACTGATCGAAACCCAAACCCAAGCTCAAACTCTCAAACGGTTTGACTTCGAGTTTGGGTCATATCTATCTATAACAGTATTTCTTAACTTGTATGTCAATATTCAGATCTGTCGCTATCGTTAATTATTCACTAGTGAGTTCACGGATTTCGCCAACATTGTCATGATGTGATTACAGTTGGCGAGAACCCACTGTACTTGTGTGTCTAAAATTTCGCGCAGATAGTAAGCTGAATTTTATCTAACTGAGATAGTAGATATATTTTTAACTAAAGAAGAGAGCTTATCGAGCAAAAGCAAATAATGTCTACCATAACTGTCATGAGAACAAAGAGGTTGCTCATAACGTTGAAATATAGGTGCTAGAATTAATTTATATTATTTATTAATAGAAATATTTAAAATTTATTTTCTATATTTTATTCATTATTTACTTGTACGATTATCGAAATAAAATCGTTGAACTTTTGAATTAACAATATCAAATGGTTTTGTATATGGTTTTTGTTGCCATTCATAATAGAAAACAGTTGTTCCAACATTTTTTATTTCAACCATACGTGTTACACTTTCTTTAACTTGACTTTCAAATTGAACACGAATTTCATAGATAAAATCAAGATCTTCATCTTCATTTATATATGGCATTTGTTGAAATACAAATGTATCAATTTTCAAAGCGGGACCTAATACAGATAAAAATAAAAGATTACATTATTCTTTTTCTAAATTTACCCATGATAGGTAAATCTCCAACATCCGGTCTACTATCAAGAGAATCTCCACTTTTTTCATTTACATCAGTATCATCATCAGTTTGAATATTATCTATTATTTCTGTTTCATAATCTTGATCTTGTTCACTTGATTTTCCATAAACATGAACTTCAATATCATTCTTTTGTTGACTTCTACGTCTTAATGAATTATGACCAACAACTTCTAATGATGATAGATCAGCTTTATGTGGAACGATTTCTTTCATATAAGGATCTAATTGATTCAAACGTTTTTCCAAATATCTATTTTAATAAAAAGAAATTTTTGTTATAAAATCATCAGAAAATAAAAATATACTCAGAATTAAACCATTGTCGTTTATGTAAATCGTCTGAAGCTTTACTAGTTAAATCTATACCAGTTTCATGAAGACCAATATTCGATTTACCAATTGTTTCAACTGGTAATGGACAACCGATTTCTGTACGTGTTAATGTAGTACTAGAGAAAACCAAAAAATCGATTTCTTAATCAAAAGATTTAATTAAATTTCTTACTGTATTCCTGTATCTTCATCTCCGATAAGTTGTTGTTGTGCCCAAAATTCACTATGTAACCGCCAATTTTTTCCATTTTGTAATAATGGTAATGTTGTATCCATAAGATCAATAAGTTCTTTACGTTCTCGCCAACGATCTGTTTGATTCATTAATAATGTAGCTGGTGATCGATTCAATTCTTCTACAATTATAGAAAATCTTCATTAAAATTCTTAATAAAACTGATATTTACTTGACATAGTTTGCATAACTTGCCGTCTTTCATCCATACGATATTTCCAATTATTTAATGAACGTGCACCTCCATCAGGACTACCAGTTGGTCGCTTAGATTTTTTATTATAGGTAGCAAGATCAGGAACATCTTCAATATTTTCTTTATTTGTATTTGTTGAAGAAAGCTATAAGAAGAAATAAAATTTCAATTTTATTCTTCCTATCGATAAACTTACTCCAGCTGCGTCTAATTCAGATAATTCAGCTGTATATTCATTAAGTGAACCAAGAATACTATATGGAAGTAATTTACCAGATGTATCAAATCGTAATCCTGCACTAAGCAATTGATCTTGTACTGGTTGATTTAGAGTTATTTTTGCTACTTGAATTCTATGGATATGAAATTTTTGAAAAATCGAAAATATTTATGATTATTCATATAGTTACGGTTGTTTTTGTGGACCTGTCTTGGTTTTAACAACCATAAAAGCTTTCTGTTCTTCTTCTTCATCAACTGATCTTTTGCTACTTTTTTCTCGATGTAACTTAAAATATAAAAGAAGAATATTTAAAATTTACTTTTTTATTATTTCTTTACTTTTTCAAGTTCCTCGGCTCGAATAGCTAATGCTTGAATTTCTTCAGAATCGAGTGGTCGAGTTGTATCAGATTCAACTGGTCCATCAATGACAGGTGATATTGCTTTGGCACTATTTTTAGCACCTCTGCCTTTGTCTAAATAATAAAAATATTAAATTAATTAAACTCGCCAGAAAAAAGTTAATCTTTTGTCTCTAAGAATCAATTATTTTTCTATACTAAATTATTAAATTACCTTTAGCTTTCTCAGGTTTATCAAGTTTACGTTGTCCAACAGCTGTGCTCATATTTCAAAATATTAGTTTATAAAATAAACTAATCGCGTTTTCTTAGACTCCATTTGATAGTTATTTGAATGATGTATTGCCAAGAGATCCTTCAAGTCATACAAAATAAAAATCTAGATGTCGTTATTACTCAGTTGCTTTACAAAAATATTTTCTAGACAATAGAATAAAATAAGCATATCAACAAAAGATCAGTAATCATTTCGAGAACACATACTTCTATTTGATTAATCAAGTCAATTAAAGATGGCTATCATTTAAGTGGTCAGTAATTAGTTATAGAATGGTAGTAAAACATTCAAATTTTCTCATTAGAAGAAATAAGTTTATTGGTATGAAGACTAATTTATTATGAGAAAAATAAATAAGAAATTCATAAGATTATTAAATAGGAATTCGAAATATGTAAATTTAACTATTATTCTAGTAAGATAGGCTGAACCGTTATCCATCCACCTCTTTACTTTCTCTCTTACCAATCAGTATTATTTTACTACGCGTGTTTCCTGAATATTTTTAATAAATACATACACAACAATGTGTCCCTATATGGTGTTCTTCAAGCATGATTTGAAGCGCAAATTACGTTTTTTTATTGATTTATGTATTTAATACAATAAAGTCCATAATTCTAAAAATATGATTGATTCTGCTACACGTATTTTTGCATTAAATGTAGATGAGTCTCGTTCAATCAAGGGTTCGTGAGGAATGGATAGGTGTGAGAGTGATGCTATAAGACATTTCGATCTTTATAACTACACTTTAATCCAATTGACTGATTTTAAAAAAATATTGAAAACCCATTTATTTCACGAACCAGAAAATATATTCTCAATTTTAAAAAGCTCAGAAATCTAAACCGTTTTCTCTCGTGACCAACGATATTTTTAATAAATTTGATTGAACATTGAGTTTTTTGATAAAGCACTAAAAAATCTCATGTTTTTTCTCGTTGGGATGGGAGGAGGAGGTAGCCACAAAACACGACGACGGAAAAAAAGAAAGAAATATCATTTATTCAAAGCCAAACGAAGCGAGTACCAGTCCATAGAAGGAAAGATGATTAAAACAATGTAGCTAAGTGTATGTTATGAGTAATGTCTTCTTTTATAGAAGCAATTTTTATAGTATGAACACTAGTTTAGCTGAGATTTGTATAGTTAGAATATATTTTACAGATCATAAATCAAGAAAATGTATTGATGATCGAAAAATTGTATTTTCTTATAGAAAATGAGGTTATATGCTCTCAATCAAAAACTAATCTTAATTTTCTGTTTCAGTTTATTTCATTCCAGAAGATAGTGAGGCTACATTGATATATAGGAGAAAAATATTTGAATTACAGTAGTTTTTATTTGGAAAATATCATAAATAAGATAATATTCGACGTCATCGACAAAATCAATAGGATATATGTGTTTATTCTTGTTGTTGTTAGTGCCTACGTTAAATCTATGTAAAATGAACAGAAACAATTTTTTCTCATCGGACAGATGTGTTTACTGAGCATACAGATGAAGTCATTAGTTAATATCACCACTTTTTTTCTGTCTTTCGTGATATTTGGAAAATACTTTAAAAGGACAACTTAATTAGAAACAGAGTAATTTCAAGAAAAACATAACTACTTATATTTTTTTCTTTTGTTAGCATTTCAATGGTAACGAATTCAATCCTCTAAATAGTTGGAGAAACAACAATAACATAGTGTAGCAATGGATGTATCATTGTTGTTGAGAAAAAAACTTGTTGGAAAACGTATGGCGTTTTTTTCCGGGAATTAATAATTATTAAATTAGAGAAAAAGACTGTTGTAGAAAACAGAAGAAAAAATTAATGATACAAGTTAGTCAAACATTTATAAAATATTTTAGAGAGGAAAGAAGTACAGGATGTTTTGGCTAATATTTATTGTATCATTATTTTCTGTTTGTAATTCTATTCTTATTACTAAAATACAAAATAATATAATAGTTGGTAATATGTATAATAATTTATTCAATGTAACAGAAGATCAATGCATATGTGAAATGATAAAAGTAAATGATCCAATATCTGCCTTAAATTATTTTTCAACAAATCAAACTTGTCAATTATTTCGTTCAAATACTACTACAATTTATATTGAATTTTATTCAAATTCTACTTTTATATTTCTTAATCAATCGTCAATATCAATATTGAATATTCAAGAATATCGTAAGTTTATTTCTGATATGCTTTGTAGGTTATAATTTGACAATACTACAAAAATATTATAACTATTTATAGACCCAAATTTCAATGAATTTGACGTTTGTGTTTTTTAAATTCTAAGAAATTTGCTAATATATCAATAATATTTTCCACTAACTGTAATTTGTGAAGTTCGCTAATCATTAGTATCTGCCCTCAGAATGGGATGGTGCACAAAAATCACCCCGATTAGTGAATCGAGAATTGCTAGATTCTTAACAAAGCCTTATCTAATTTTCTTGTCTCATGTTAATCCCATTTTTTGAAACAGAACCGAGTACGTCAGCATCAGCACTGACAACAATATCATCAACCTCACCATCAACTTCACTATCATCATTATTACCATCATCAACATCATCATCATCAACTTCAACATCAAAAACAACATCGTCAACATCAAGTTCAACGTCAACATCAACAACAACGTCAACAACAACAACTGGTGAGTGTGGGACTAAATACTTAATGCTTACGTCAGATGTTGAAAAGAGAAATAGTTTCACGAGATTTTGAAATGTAGTGTTTGGTATTTCGAATCATCTCAAATTCGAATAAATAAGACGAGTTTATTGCATAGAAAAGTTCTGAAGATGAAAAATGATCTTTCTACATAGACAAGCTAGTATCTATATACGAATCTGAAGACACTAGTTGACGTTTTATAACTCCTCGTGATTCTCTAGACTTGACTATTTTATCCTTCTCTATACATCGACTAAATTAAGAAGTCGGCCTGTAAACTGATAAGTAAAAGTTTGTCAAACTATGAAAAATCTTATTAGGTTTTTATCAGTGCTATGCACTGGTCGTAGGTGTTGGTATCAGAGTAACGTTAATGTAATACCCATATCCACAGCCACACCCAAGAGAGCCATAAGAATGGAGTAAAAAATTATTTGAGTTAGATTTGAGAGTATCGAAAGTTGTTCAAAACAAGATTATACGAATCTATTCACCACCGTAGTGCTAACTGACACAACGTTACGCAAATCCTTAAAAATTCAACGATAATTTTTTTGTCTCTAAATCATTCAAAATACTAAAATCAATTTTTGATTTTACTAGCCTGCAACTCTTTTCTTAATCAAACTACTTACTCAACTGGCGTTATACCATATTCAGTAGCAGTTGTCGATGTGAATAGCGACAATAAACCCGATATTGTTGTTGCAAACTGGGGTTCGAACATCGTCAGTGTTCTTCTCAACGCAGGCAATGGCTCCTTTAAGGCTCAAACTACTTATCCAGTTGGTAACAACCCATACTCGGTAGCAGTCGTCGATGTGAATAGCGACAATAAATCCGATATTGTTGTTGCAAACTCTGGTTCAAACAACATCGGTGTTCTTCTCAACGCAGGCAGCGGCACCTTTAATGCTCAAATTACGTATACAGTTGGCACTAACCCAACGTCAGTAGCAGTTGTCGATGTGAATAGCGACAATAAACCCGATATTATTGTTGCAAACTATGCCGATAACACTGTTAGTGTTCTTCTCAACACAGGTAGCGGAACCTTTAATGCTCAAACTGCTTATCCAGTTGGCACTAACCCACAATCAGTAACAGTCGTTGATGTGAATAGCGATAATAAACCCGATATTGTTGTTGCAAACGGTAATTCGAACAACACCGGCGTTCTTCTCAACGCAGGCAGCGGCACCTTTAATGCTCAAACTACTTATCGAGTTGGTAACTACCCTTACTCAGTAGTAGTCGTCGATGTGAATAGCGACAATAAACCCGATATTATTGTTGCTAACGCTAATTCGTACAGCGTCGGTGTTCTTCTCAACACAGGCAGTGGTACTTTTAATGCTCAAACTACGTATCCAGTTGGCAGCAACCCAGTATCGGTAGCAGTCGTCGATGTGAATAACGATAATATATCCGATATTGTTGTTGCAAACTGGGGTTCGAACAACGTCGGTGTACTTTTCAACGTTGGTAATGGTACTTTTAATGCTCAAACTATTTACTCAGCTGGTGTGGAACCACTATCATTAGCAGTCATTGATGTGAATAGCGACAATAAACCTGATATCATTGTTGCAAACGAGCAATCGAACAATGTCGGTGTTCTCTTCCATTGTTAAAGCTTATCGATGACTAACCTCTATTTATTCATTAACATTTTACTACTCTACTAAAAACGTTACGCTTATAAAACATTATACGATGGGAACTGCTATCTAGGTTCGTTCGATATTATGAATTTCAACAAAACATTGCGATTATACATAATATTGGCACAAATACATCAGTATATTCATATATTGAACATTAATTCCTCATTTAATAATAATATTTCTAGTTATAGAACTTTTCTGGGTACATAGAACTACATGTATTGCAATTACTCGAAGTACAAAACATTAGTTTTGAACGTGTAAAAACAATATAGAAAAGTTTCATAGGCTTAAATAATTTACTGATCTTTCATTTTTTATTAACCATTTTTTAATCCTACTGACTATTGCATTTATTTTACTGACCAGAAAATATATTCCCATCAAAGAATCAACCTTGACATACAAAAAGATAGTATTGGATGCAATCATGAATTAGAGTTGTAACCGGACTGATCGATTTCAGGAAAATATAGATGTGAGTCAGTTCAAGATTAGTTAGAAATTATGCATCTGTGCTCGTTGGTTTATAATAAAATAGTTACAATTCATTTCGACATGTACATTCACACATTTTTTCTGATTGTCTACTTTCTTTCAAGTAAAATAAACTCATCATTAAATCATCGAGTATATTCAAAATTTTTACTTTATTAAACATAGATAAAGTTTTATTTTAGTTTTTATTACGAAATATATATATGATATATAACGGTACAAAAAGCACACCGATAAACAATAAGTATACAAAGTGTCAAAACAAAAATAAACTGTATCACCGGATTTCAATATACTTTATTTATATAAAAATTTCAATTTAATCAAATATCGTAATCGAACTTGTTTTGTATCATAAACAATATATTCATTATAATTAAGTGTATAACCTTTTGAATTATTCACTGGTGTCGGTTCACCGGGACCCAGAGGTACTGTAATATCACCGCCTCTATTCATCAAAAAATAAATAAAAGTTTAATTTGTATTTTTTTTACATAGTAAAATTAAACTTACATTTTAACTTCATTTTTGCCATTAGGTGAAATTGAACCAAGTGCTTTAACACTTGATAAACCTGTTGGTAATTTATGAGCATTATTATCTGCAGTTAATAATTCATTCCATTTACCAAGTGCTACCTAATTAATCAAAATGAACGATATTATCTATTAAAAAATAAATTCAACTTACTTCAGAAAGAAGTACAAGACCCGTATTTTTAGTTGGTGTTGTATAACAATAATTAGCACTTTTACTACTCATATCAGCAAAATATAAACCTTTACCAAACATATAACCCGTCTAAATAATAGTATATTATAGATTTTAATAACAAAAAAATGTTCAATTAACTTACCACGGGTGCTTCAGGTGGTGCAATACGTAAACCTTGACTCATAATACCCGCAAAATTAGTTAAACGAGATCCATGCCTAAGTAAATTTAAGAAAATATTATAATGATTTTTTAGTTATAAATTCAATTTACCAAAGAAGCATTTTATTTCCAACATCATTAAATGCTTCTTCTTCACCTTCTTTATCAACTTCAAATATATCATCAATTTGCATTTTATATTGTTGATGTGTTGTTGCATGTGTTGATTGAAGATATTTTTCAATTAATTTATATATATCATCTGTATTATCAATTGGTTTTAATTTACATTTTAATTGTTCATAATGTTGATCAACAGGATTCATACGATTATTTGTATCGGTATTTAATGCACTAAATGCAACTTCAATATCATCAAGTGCTTCAAGTAATTCAATTTCATGTTTTAATTGTTGAATAGTTTTAATTAATGGTGGTGCATGTCGACCGAATTCATGTGGAACTGAAATAATATATATTTATTTAGAATATATATATATCTAAAGTCATACTTCGTGTATAATAAGTATTGTTTGCTTCGACAAAATTAGTATTAAAATTATTTGCTTTGATAAATGTTTCAATATCTTTTAATGCTGCATAACCAGCTTTAATTTGTGCTGAACTGAGTTTACCTAGAAAATAGATTATATGAGATAAATGAAAATAGGAGTAAATAATTTCTTACCAAGTGGATTCTTTTTAGCATCGAATTTCATTTCAAGTAATGCTTCTTCCATTGCACGTACATTACAAACTAATTCAATAAGATTTTGAACACGTTTATCAAGTTTTGATTCAGGTATAGGTCGACTTTTAGCTTCTTCAAGAGCTTCTTCACGTTTTTTCTTATTCTCTTCATTTTCCTCAGTCTTTTTCGAAGTCTATATTAGACAATATATTAAAATTCATTCATATGTATATATTTAACTTACAGATGGATTATAATCAAGTTGAACATAATCATATTTTCCAGGATATTTTGTAAATGTATCACGATGATAAAAATCATTTTTTGTTTTATCACTGAATCTAAAGATAATAATTTTCTTCTAAAAAGTATATCATCTCAACGTTTGGTCTACATACTTCGAACAGAAGAGTCTTTTTGCATCGTTTAATTTTGCTCCAAAACTTTCTAAATTAGTTTGTCCAGTATAACCAACTCGACCCCTAAATAAAAACAAATAAATATTTCATCTAGATGAAAACTATAATCTTACCAACGTAACCATACATAATATGTTTTACTGTTATTATCCTCAAGAAGTTGTATTAAATAAAATTTATTATTATTGTTTCCAACATTTGCCTTAAAACAAACAATTCAATACATATTCATACTATACAAATAAATATGTCTTACTTGATTAAGCATACAATCAAATATATCTTTGTTTTCGCTATAAACATGTGCTTTTCCTAACATTGTTATACATTCAGCGTCGACTGGTGCTTGTCCAGCAACTGTTTTTACAGTTCGTACTATGTAAAAAAAGAAGAAATAGATTTTTTTAAAAACTTTATATAATGATTTTTTACTAGAACTTGTTTCTGGAGCAGATGATTTTGATAGGACACGTTTTTTCGTTGTACTTTCTGTAGGTTCATCTTCATTTTCTAATGAACGCTTATTTGAATTAGTTGAAACGCCAAGTGGTACTTTTGCCACTAAATAAAAACGAAATCTTTCATTTAAAAATCTCAAGAATAAAAATAACAAACTTGATTTAACACAACGAACTTTTCGTATAACATTTGTACTTGTATTTGTTTGAGTAAGTTTCTTTAGATCAATATCATATGAACGACTTTGACAAGTGAATGAGAATGATGTTTGATCATTATTAAGTGCATCAGCTATTTTACCCATTATCTCTGCAGTGTAACTCTCCCATTTTTTATTCTCATTTTGCCATTCATAAATAAAAAAACCATTATTATCTTTTAATTCTAGAGAAAGACGTACACGACGCATAAATTTTGTCTTTTTATTTATTTGCACCATATCATCAAATTTAATTGTCATACTAATTTCATCAGTTACATTAACATCAACCTAAGGGAAATATTTTTCTCTTAAGTTCAATTAGAAAAAATAAGAAATTTCTAAATTTACCTGTTTTTTATTGGCCTCAAATGCTTGAGATATGTCTTGTTGAATATTAATTGGATATTGTTGCCAAATACTTTTATCACCTTCCCATTCCCATTGAGCATTATGACCGGAAACTGTAATAGTAGTACTACTAGATGCCATTGTATTGTGACTATGCAAAAATTCGAATGTACTGCGTATTTATTGATAGTTTCACCGCAAAATAGTAATTGACAAGGGATGGTGCAAGACTAGAAACCTTTATTATTATTGGTTGATAACAAATGCTTGATTTGTTCGTATAGGAACGACATCTTCTAATGAGAATAGAATACATATTTATCTTTAAATTCATAATTACTGACTGTTCGAAATCATTATTGACCCATTATTAATGAATCAAATAAGAACACATTGTATCTCAGATACCTCTAGTGAACTAACATTCAACATGAGTAATATGAATTAATAGAATTTAATATATATGTATTCTGTGACAGTTATAATGACAGAACATTTCATGATTGCAAGTAGTTTATTTAATCATAAGCAATGAAAAATAAATTTTAAATGACGAAAAAAAGAGATGCAGATTAACTTTTCGATAGACAACATAATTATCTTAGGATTAAAAAAAACCTAATAGACACTTAATAGGTTTCTTGACATTCGAAGCAACATAAATTTAAGGTTTCTCGAACTATTCAACATTGTGTTTTATTAGAATATATTCGAAAAAAAAATGGTACATCACTAAATTTAATATTTATATCAGATGAAAATATCTAGGCTTACATTAAATAAACAATTCATTTACTTATAAATTCTATATTTTCTTGCCACAGGTATTTTAATTATATGTCTGATCCTTCCATTGAATCATCTGATACACCACAACGACTTTTACGAAGTCAAAGTGCTGTAAGAATGTATAAAATCTTGTTTCATTGAATAATATATATATATACTATTTCCTTAAATAGACACCGGGACATCGTAATGACGCGCGTCATAAATATAATGAATATTTGAAGAAATTAGAACAAAAAAATAAATTATTAAAAACTAATACTGATGAACATAAAACAAAAGATAATATTTTAAAACAACGTGAAAATGGTTTTCAATTATATGTTAATGGAGTTCATAATACACTTCCGCCACGTTCATCATCTGTCATACGTAAAAGACTTGATAAACCATCGAATCGAATTCAAACTCCTGCTCCGTTATTTTCGGATTTTTCATCTCCAACTTTATCAACTACAACTCGACAATTAGATTCTCGTCCTCGATGGATACCATCAACACAAACGAAAATAAAAACTGAACACGGTTCAATTATTGCTGATATTCATGATAAACAAGTTCAATCAGATACTGTAAATAATCAACTCACATATCGTTTAACTACACTAACAAATGTTGATCAAAGTTGGATGCCAAATTGGTATAGAAATACTCAATCAAATACAGATATTTCGAATTCTAATCAAAGTCTCTGTATGTATTTTTTTTCTCTATATAAATGATTCAATATATTTGTTATAGCATTATCACTTGATAATATATCAACAACACTTCCGTTAACTAAATCTCAACAGCAAACTTATCGTCTATCAACAATGGTAGGTAGGTAAGAGGTATTGTTATATATATGAATATTTGTAATTGAACACGATCTAGAAGAAAAAATCAGGAAAGAAAGAGAAAAAGAAGACTTTTTCTTTTTCTCTTCTCTCTCTCTCACACACTAACGACAGTTACGCACCTAAGAAGGCATCTTGACAACGTCGATCAAAAAAAAAAGAAAGAACGGAATGTAATGGTGATTTCTTTTTTTTGCTAGCTGCACATATATTATTTTTATCGATTCTGAGACAAACAATTCTTATTTGACAAAAAAATGAGTCGACGAGATTTACCAAAACATCCAATTACTGGAAAATATAATGCACCAAGACCGGGAGAAAAACGACCGGGTAATCATAAAGAATAATATCTTTATCATCTAGTAGTCTATTAAATAATAATAATAAAATACTCCTAAGAACACTCTTCAAATGCCTAATATAACTTATGATAGTATTGAAAGTGATTGAAACTTATAAATAAATAAATATTAAATGTTTTTGTTAATAATTTAAATAGGAGCAAGACTTGCAGGAGGTGATTTAATGAAAAATACGAGTGCACATTCAACGAATCAACCATTATTTGTTACTTCTACACGACGAACATCGAAAACTGTTGATAGTCTTGATCTCGAAAATTTCTCTCAGCCAAAGTAAGCTTTTCTTTTGTTTTAATCTGAAAAACACTAATTTCATTTTAGAGAAGTTCATATTGATACAGAAACAGATGAGAAGAAAACATCTCAACCATCTAATAGACGAAGTCCATTTCGAGATGCTACTTCTAATGGTAAATTTAAATTTTTTTTTTTTTTGTCAAACTTATTTTATTATTATTAAAAAGAAAAATTATCCGATCATCAAACAGATTGGCTCGAAAAATCAATGACACAAATTGATCTTTTTAGTCGACGACATCGTGGAATGCTTGAAAGTATATATAAAGAAAAACTTCCACTTACATTCAATTATTTATTTCTATTCAATTAGATGAACAAGTTGATGAATATTTTACAAGTGGAACTTCAAAAACTGAGAATGAAAACGACGAAGAACAGTAATATATATAGTTTAATTATTTATATATATCTAATTTTCTTCTTCTTCTTTAGATTTACTATACCTGAGTTACCTAATGGTGAACAATTAGTTTTTAATTTAAAATCAACTTGGGGTGATCGTCATTATGTTGGATTAAATGGTATTGAAATATTTACTGGTGAAGGCCATCCAATACTAATTAAAAAAGTTATAAAAACTTATTTTATTTTATTAACACAAATAATTATTTTAATAGATTGCAGCAGATCCACCTGATATCAATATTTTACCTGAATATGGTAATGATCCACGTGTAGTAACAAATTTAATTGATGGAGTTAATAAAACTCGAGATGATATTCATATGTGGCTTGCCCCATTTACAGCTGGTCGACCCCATTTTATCTATATTACATTTGAACATCCAACTAAAATTGCAATGATCAGAATATGGGTAAGCATTTCTGTATATTTAATCCTAAATATTTATTTTTGTCGTTTTAAAGAATTATAATAAAAGTCGTATCCATTCGGCACGTGGTGCAAAAGATGTAGAAATTTCTCTTAATGGTCGTATTATATTCAAAGGAGAAATTACTCAAGCTTGTGGAAATATTAATGCTAGCAATGACCCATCAGCATACGGAGAAGTTTGTATTAAATATATATTGAAAATAGTATAAAAGATTGTCTTTTTGAATTTAGACTATTTTATTTACTACTGATGATAGAATTCTTGAAAAAATCTCTACTTATGATGAAATGTATATTGATCAAGAAGCTACGCAAGATGATGATGAGAATTTAAAAACTGGTGGCAATCGTCCACCAAGTCCAGGAACAGATGTAAATTTATTATGCATTTATGTATATATATGCTTTTATTTAAAATAGGTTCGACCAATGACACGTGCTATGTTACGAAGACCATTTACAGCTCTTCGTTCATCAGCTGCAAGTCAAGTACCGGAATATTATGGAAAAAGTATGTTAATATTTATTCATATTTACTCATCTGATTTAATTTCTTATCTATATTTAGAAATAATTCTAACTGTAACGGAAACATGGGGTGACCCAGATTATTGTGGTTTAACAGGTCTTGAAGTAGTAGATATTAATGATGCGGATTGTGTTATACAATCATATGATGCACGTCCACGAGATATAACTATACTTCATACGCATGCTAATGATGTTCAAACACTTGATAAGTAATAGGAAATCTTTTTTTTGTAATCAAAATTGATTTTCAATGATTTAAGATTATTCGATAGTGAAAATGTTACATGTGATGAAAATCATATGTGGTTATGTCCATTTAATAGAAAAGATCGAGTACGTATTATAATTGTATTGAGTGTATCAAAAAAATTACATGGTTTACGTATATGGAATTATAATCGATCACCAGATGATACTTATCGAGGAGTAAATTTTTTTCTTTTGATAATAAATTATTTTGATATTGAACTATTACAAATAGATTAAACGTCTTCATGTACAATTAAATGATAAAATTATTTCTCCAAGACAAGGTTTTCTATTGCGACGTGCACCTGGTCATTGTTCTTTTGATTTTGCACAAGAAATTGTTTTTGCACATGCAAAAACAATGATTCAAGATGAACAAAAACAACAACAAAAACGGTAAGAATATATATCAATAAAATATAAAACATTATACAATTTATTCATTATTTTAGACAACAAGCAGCGGCTAATCGTGAGAGTGACTCAGATATCTCAATGCCCAATGGATGTAAGTCATTCACATATACAGATTGATTATCAAATATCTATACTTGTAGTTATCTTTGAATTTCAACTACATTCAACACATGGTGACGCTTATTATATTGGTCTAAATGGTTTGGAATTTTATGATGAAAATGGTGAACGTATTGGTCTAATTAAGCAAAGTAATACATTAATTAATGAGAAAAACAAATGCTAATGTTCATTTTGTTTATTTGATAGATATTGCTGCCTATCCTCATAGTGTTAATACACTTAATCCAGGTACAGATGATGATGTACGTACACCAGATAAATTAATTGATGGTGAAAATGATGATATTGATGGTAGTCATTCATGGATTGCACCAATTTTACCAAATGTTGTATGTATTTAAATTGAAATACTCTGTAGAAAATTATTTTTTTCTATTGAAGATCAATCGAGTTTTTGTTATATTCGATCGACCTACTTCTGTATCAATGATAAAAATATGGAATTATGCTAAAACACCTAATCGTGGTGTACGAGAATTTTCTGTATGTAATATTTAATTAAAAATTGACATTTTAAATAAAACAACTTCTATTCTTAGTTACTTGTTGATGATTTACTTGTTTGGACTGGTATATTGGATAAAATGAATGAAAATCAAAGTGAAAACGATATGCAACAAGTACCATTTAATACAATTCTATTTGCTGATGAAAGAATTCTTACGGAACATGAAAAACAAACAGTTTTAGAGTAAATAATTTGATTTTTTTATTATCGTTCTCAATCGATATTTTGTTTTTAGGAATAAAAATTCTTCCGATAACATGATTGGCGAAACATCAACTAGAGATCAAGCTGTTGATTATTGTAAATTATTTTCTGAAACTAACCGTAATAATTCATTTTTCTTATTTTTTAGCCAAACGGCCGACAACATCAGTTCCACGAACACATCGAAAACAACAGAACAAATAAAAAAAAAAACTCTTTCTTTTGTCGTCCGTCAGATTTTTATTTCTATAAATTTTTTTTTTATTGTGTTAAAGGAAAATAAAACAGACACAAATAAAAAACAAATAGATACTGTTCTCATCATTGTATACATATAACAAGAAAGAGAAAACAAAAGAAGAGAATAGGTCACATGAATTTAAGTTCACTGGGAGAAAAATCTGACTCCGAAGAAAAATTTTTTTTGTTATTTTTCATTTATTCGACGTAGTACCTGTCGAAGGAACATTTATAACTGATGTTGGCGCCATATAACCACGTGGTCGAACTAAATATGTTGTCATATTACCTTTACCTTTAACATAGATTGGTCCACGACATTCACATGGATAACCATGTTCAAATAAAACTTTTTGAGTTTCTTCTGGTACATGAATACAACTAACAACACCAGTACTATCCATACGTGATGCAACATTAACTGTATTTCCCCAAATATCATATTGAGGCTTTTTAGCACCGACAATACCTATATAAATTTTGATGAATTATATGAGAAACATAGAGTTTATTATTTACCGGCAACAAGCGGGCCATTACACATGCCAACACGTAATTTAAAATCATTGAAACAATCACGATTGATACCTTCAAGTACTGCAACCATAGCAAATGCAAATTCAGCAAGTGCAACAATATTTTGATTATATCTTTCTCTTGTCTAAAAAGAATCAAAAATATAAATGTTGGGTTTTTTTCCTGTCAATACCATTCTATGTTCAGCACCGGGATTAAGACCAGCTGCTGCCATATATGTATTACCAATAGTTTTGATTTTTTCAACACAACTAAATTTATTTTTATCTAATAACTAAATAAAAACCGAATTTAAGAAACAAAATAATTTATTCTAAAAACAAACAAACTTTATCAAATTCGGCAATAATTTCATTTAATAATCGTAAACATTCTAAACCATCATTATTAGCATCAGATTGAACATAAAATTCTTTAAAATTCGGTATTGATGCAAACATAACAACAACATTATCATAACTTTCATGATATAAACCCTAGAAAAACAAAAATTAATTTTCAATTTGTTTTTTTCTTTTTTGGAGAGTTTTCTTACTTGAGACATATTCTCTTTGATAATTATTTCAGCAACATGTTTAGGTAAAATATTTTCTAATAAAAGTCGACTTATGGTACTAACAGTTTCGACTTCATGTTTTTCATTTTGAAATTTAACTGTCCATAATAAATCAAGTCGACTCATATATTCAATCTAAAAACAAAAATATTACAAAATAAATTCTTAGTTTTTTTTATCTATTTACTCGTCGATCAAGGCCAATTAATAGAAGAATAAAAAAAATTACTTCTAATGTTGTTTGTATTAATAATGAAGTACTTGTTAAACCATAATTCTTCGCAATAATATGATAAACATTAAAATAATGTGAATAGAATACATAAATAGCGACTGTTACAATCATAATAAATGCTTTAAGTAGAAAATATAGATGCATAAATGATGAAACAGTTAATAGAGCAAGTTGAATCAATAATATATGAAATTCAAAATGATGACATAATTCATATGTTAGAGAATTTTTTGTTAGTGATGGAACAAGAATAATCGTAGGCATTGGTGCGAGACGAGTCTAAAATAATTATAGTCTTTTATTTAATTATTTCTGTAATTAATCATCGAAAGTAAACAGGCGGTATTCTATGACATATTTAATAACCGATCAAAGGTCATTTTAAGTTAATTACTAATCTAGACAAAACGTCTGTTGACAGAAATTACCGAGGAGTTGATAGAAAAAAATATTGATTCTACCCAATAACTATGACCTTACTTAGATAATTGTATTATACACTCTTATCTCGATGTAAATAAACTATAAGCTTCATCGAATTCATTATTTTTTTATCCCTTGATATCTATCATAATAAAAGAAAAAAACAATATTCTTTACTTCATAAATATTCTCTTGATGCAATGAAAGATTTGGTGCAAGAGTTGTATTTCTATATGATTCTACTATGGAGTGATTTGATGAATGCCATGATACAGCAAATGGTGTTAGAATACAAACAGCAATTAATATAAGACTAAGAGGTAGACGAATAAAATAATAATGTGTCACTAAATAAGTTGATTGATCTAATAATGAACGATGATTGTCACGTTGTAACTAAATAAAAAAAATATTGAATAGAAAAATGAATTTTTTTTCCATCAATTACAAACTTTTGATAGATCAATAACACAAAGAAGTGCTGCTAAACTAAATATACATAAACCAACAATCACCAAAATAAAATAAAGAGCATTTCTGTAATAAAAATAATAATAAATAATGTATGGAAAGAAAATGGGGAATTTTTTTTACTTTTCTAAAATTAATGCTTGAATGATTAGAATAGCAAAGAAAATACAAGCTGCATTAATAATATAATATCGATAACGTAATTCAGGTAATGAACGAAATAATGCTTCACTAGCAGTTCGATTTTCTTCATCATCATCTAAACCTTTTTGGCATTTATTTGCTTGTTTATTAAATTCAAGTGTAAATGGTTCAAGATCATTTTCACTTCGTCGACGACGTCTAAATAAATCAGATTATTTTTATTTTTATTTTTCGTTTTAAATCTTACGTGCAACCAAATGATGTTGCTAATGGTTTTAAATTATCTTCTAAAAGTACGAAACTTTTTGCAGCATCGGATTTATCATTATCACCAAGACCTTGTGCAGAAAATGGTGTTTCATTTGACCATGTATCCAATAATTTTTGCATTTTTTTACTCAATTTACGTGTATCACCATTACTAGAAAATATTCAATTATTAACATAACAAAAAAACAAATTTCGATATTATTTTACTTCATCGTTAATTGATTTTGAGTATTGGGTACATCTTTTGGTATAATAAAATATGTTTTAATACCTAATTTAGCAATATAAGAATCACGTTCATCTCCATGTGCTTCTTCAACTTCATATTCATTACCCAAACTCAGTAATGTACTATCAGATATATGAACACGTCTATGAAAGATATTGTATGATAATTTTTTGATGAAAATAATTTATATAACTAACCCTGGTACACCACCTGCTTCAATATGATTAGCTAATGTAACATCATCCGACCATGTGTCATACTGCCATTTTTTTAAACCTAATACTCCACATAAAACTCTTCCTGTATGTATGCCAATACGCATGTCAACATTTACACCGGTAGCTTCTCGTACTAATCTAAATATTTTAAGATTGATTAATAAAGGAAAAAAAATTTTTGTTTTTACTTAATATCTTCAATCATTTTTAAACCCATTTTAACACAATTTGATGCATGATTAGGTCGACTTATAGGTAAACCACTAACACAATAATAACAATCACCTAAGATTTTTATTCTCATACAGTCACATTCTTGTGCTAATTGATCAAATTTTCCAAAAAGTTTATTAAGAATTTGTACTAATTCTGGTGGAGTAAATTTTTCTGATAATGGAGTAAAATTTACAATATCCGCATATAAAATTCTATGAAATTAATATAATACAAAGCAGATTTTTTGTATATTTTTAACTTACGTTACATTTTCATGTTTTTTTATATATAAATCATGAAATGTTGCTTTTCGTACATTGATTTTTTTTGTATTCGATCTTTGATCATCATAATCTCTCGATTGAAGATTATGATATTTAGCTGTTTCTTTTACTTTACGTAACATTTCTGATTTCATACTTAATGCTAATAAAAGAAAAATAATATGTATATGAAATTAAAGAAAATATTTTTGTTACCAATATGTGCTGGTATAACACTAAGAATTAATGTTTCTTGTTGTTCTTTTTCACGTTCAAGTCTTAAACGTGCTTCAATACATCTCATCGTATTTTGATATGTTTTCTTTTGATGTGCATCTGTTAAATATCGATGACATAAACCAAAGAAATTACATGCCGCGTAGAATAATGACAAACATATAACCTAACACAAAAGAAGACTAATTACATTTCTTTTCGTTATCTACCTACCTCAAGTTTTAATTCCATACGAGAAGATTTATTATTTAAATAATTAGTACGATGTGTCTGAATTACAAGTATTAAATGAATAAATGATGTGATTAATGCCATTAAAACTGTCCATGATCGAGATATCGGCAATGTTGTATGTATTGTAATTATTGAAAATGTAATAATACCCATTAGACGAATAATTGATGTATATTGTTGTAAAAGAATAGGTATGATTGAAAATAATGTTAATAAAAACCATATTAATAAACATGATATATAGACATGAGCATGAAGGAATTTTTCACGTTGAAGTAATATTATTAATGATATAGAGAGAAGTAGAATACAAGCAAAAAGAATGATTTCAAGAATAAATTGAGCCAAAAAATACTGAATCAAAAAATATATGTATATATATGAAAAAAATTAATAAAAAAAATTAGTTACTTTTTTAGAAAAAATAGCCAATAATAAGTAAATAAGACTTTGAATAGCAGTAAGTAATAACGAAAATAAAACTAGACTATGTTTAATTCGAATTAAATAAAGACCAAAATAATGCTTATTATCCATCGGGGCTAAAAATCAAATGAAAAATATTTCAAATCTATATACGAAACCTTATCTTTCCTATGTGTTATGTATCTAATAGAAATGATAGTTTGATAAATATTAATATATCTCTTTTGGTACTCATGTAAACTCGTTGACTAAAAGCAAATGAATTCAGTATGTATGTATATATATATATGTGTCTGAGAAAGAAAAAAATACGCCACCAATAAAAGAATAATATCCATTAAAAGAAAATACAAGATATTAAATCAAATCGAAATGGATAGTGATGAGAAAACATAACATATGTTTTTGGTTTCATTTAAAATAATTTTATCTTAATAACGATATGAGTAAAAAAAAATCATTAATACGTATATGCGGCATATTCGATGTCTAAATATGACATTTTTTACTCCATAGATCATTACTAGAATAAACTTGAACTATATATGATTCTATATTTTGGTAACTAATTGATACACCATTTTCGTTTACTCTCTTAGTCTATCATCAAAAATGAAGTGGATGACCCACTTATAGAACATTGCATAGTAAAAGTTGATTACTAAAGTATTCAATGGAATGTTGTTATCATGAAGAAAAGGAGAGTATAAAGCAACTGTTTTTTTTTTCTTCGTTTCAAGTTTGTGTGTTTGTTATTCGAGATAGTATATAGTCTGATCAAATTACTAAAATTCTTAGTCATGAAAAAAGGAATTTCTTTTTTACAACTATTAGACATGTTGAATATCTATTCTAATAAGAGAATTATAATAATTGAGTATTATCTTTTTTCTTTCTTAACTTTTATAATAACAAATTATTGATAATGCCTTTGAAGTAGTATAAGAAAGAAAGAAAGAAATCTTTTTATGATGAGCATTGTCGACAGATAATGATAACGAATTCTACACAGAAATAGTTTTGTTGCAACAATAATGTTTCTTTTCTTCTATAAAGATATCCCCAGACGACTCCTTAGATTGATGTAAAATGAATAATCATCAAACACAACGATACGAAACATTTGGTTGGGCCTGTATATATATATATACAGAAATGATAAGAGTCGTTTTATACACGAAACAGCTTGATGACAACGATAAAAATGCATCAATGCACAAATAAAAAAGAGAGAGAGAGAGAAAGCAAATAGTAGTTTGTTTCTGTAAAGATACTATCATCATACAATTAAATTAGCATAGTTATTGATACAAAAATAGCTTGTCATCACTATCATCATCGTTAGATGTTGATGACATGAAAGAAAAGAAAATAAATATAAAAAAAATAAATTATACCTGTAGTTACATCCGTTGATGACCAGTCGAGTGTAAGTCGGG